TGTAGGGCCTTAGGTGTAGACCTTAAGGCTTGCAATCAAAACCAACTAGATGCTTAGGCGTGCCACTGCCATCTCTATATGGCAGATATAGAACAAGTATGTTTTAAGCCAATTACTTATGCCCCAAGTTATTTCTGACATCTTGTTTATCAAAGGATTGTTGTAGATGAGTTAAGTCTACATTAAGTTCTTTTCTATGCCTTGAGATTAAGGACTTTTAGTTATCTTGTATGCTCGAGGGGTAAAAGTCCATTCTGATCAAGGCATCAATTTAATTCATTCCAATCTTGATAAAACCACTAAGTGAACCAGATCTGAGAACTGATGGGGGTTTTAGTCATCAAAGGACTGGAAATAACTTGAATATAAACTAGAGAATACATTATAACACCAGATCTGTTAATTAAAAGACAAAAACAAAGAGAGTCGAGCAAGATTTGACCTTGTCGGGCAAGGTTAAACATCTTGCGATTTCTTGTCTTTGCAATTTATAAAGGATTGAACACTAAAGGGGACGACTAGAAAAGAGTTTATACAAGAGGGATCGATACTACAACATTTAGGAAAAGGTAGGAGAGCTTTTACATAGACAAAAGATGTCTTTCTAAGGAAATCTAAGGCTAAAAAGGTGCAGAGTATGGACAAAGCACGGCTTTCTGGATATTTGCGTGGCTGAGAGATAAGTTGTATGTTTGTTTGTTTGATTAGTTGAGTGTCTTTGTCTCTGGGCCCTCTTCCTCCTTTTATAGATGAATTAACTTGACTTGGCTGTTTTTATTCTTGCCCGAAAGCAATTTGGAGGGTAGGGAACCATCAGTAATTTACATGCTATGCCATTCGTAAAGTGCTTTTGGGCCGAAAGTTGGTGGATTTACATCTGTTGTCACTTCCTTTGTAAGTACCTAATCTATGCATTAATAGGGGAGCGCCAATTGGTCTTGAGATGGACGGTCTGGGCTTCGTGCTAGGCTTTGAGCAAGCTTCATTTCTTTAGTCTTTTTGGGCCCTCCTTCCTTTCGGCCCAAAGTTCAAATGTTAACCCAAACAGATCGATTCCCTATATTCCTAAATTTATTTTGGTAGTTGAGACGTTGATTTTGATGGTGATTTGAGCTCGGAATAAGCTTTGGAAAACTGGACCACAACTAACTATTTTCCAAGCAAAACGAAGAAGGCAAGTATAGCGGTACTCGCAAGTGTGTAGGGGTTCTCTTGCGCTTGATGTGTGGAGGAACCCGAGCTCCTTACTTAGATTTCTCGATGTGCCAAACCCGAATCCGCCATCCATTTTCCGAAATTCGACCGTTTTAAAATAGTTTCATTATTAGTCGTACATTGTACAAAAACGTGTATATGCATTAGTACGTTATATATTTTTGTAAATGGTTTCATTTCTAGGTGAAACACATCATAAGGAGCTTTGATGCCCGCGAAGCAGGTTTGATCCAACGACATGATTTGTGAATGGGTCTTTGCTTTTAAATATTATATACTTATTTAGTTTCCACATATATATTTTATAAATAATTTTTCTACGTATGCCTAGATTAGACTAATGTATCTAAGAAAATAATGAAATGATGAAATTCACGAAACTATGCTAAATCCTCTAGGATGCACAAGTATGCGTACTATTATGGGATTTTATTTACGGCTATGATTAATATTTTATTGAATGGCATTAAGTCGACTAGAGTTATCGATTTACCTATTGTATGACCATATTTACATTATCTGCTCATCATGTGCTACACTGGTGCTAGTACTCGTCTGGACCAGGGTCAGGCTTCATGTGTATGCTCAAATTGCACCACACACTCACTTTGGATCCATTGTAGGTGACAATTCTGTCCTAGATTGCTATAGGCAATTAGGACTCGTATGTGGTTCGCATAGCGCCAGTCTTCACGTAATTGTAGTACTATAGCGTAAATCATTATTACAACCAGTCTTGTTCATGTTAGAATGCCTTTGCATGAACTCGTGTGTCAGCATATGCCAATGAGCACTCGATATGTTATGTTTGTTTATGTGAGATTATGTGATTACCAGACCTTAGGTGTTTATTTATGGAATATTAAATTCTTGAGAAATTGTAAGCTACGGTAAGTATTTTCATACTATATGTAGTATTTATATTTTGGAAACTATACTTGTTTTACGGCGATGAATTATTATGTTTTTGAAAAACTTTTATAAAACTTTATTTTTAGGCCCACTTACCTTTTTTTTTCGCCCCTCCAGGTTTTAGTGGCAGAGCTTTCGTGTCGATGAGAATTCTTGGCAAATCTTGGTATAGGTGATTACCTTCAATAGTAAAATTCTTATCCTACCTTTACTGTACTTTACTTATGCTCTGACATCACGTGTGAATTGGATTCAATCTCGCTCACATGCACACTCTTTCATTTAGGCACTTTTAGATTTAAATTTATTCACATGTTCTACCTTACTACATTTTATGGCTTCGTCACCTTTCGGGTGTCGGCCAGTGCAACTCGATTCGAAGTCCAGATGGACATTCTGGGTCGAGGTGTATCATTAGGCACCAGGTGCCCGAGTCGAGCTCATCTCGGATTGCATGGCAGCAGAATCATCGAACCTGTTCCAGTCGTGTGAGTAATTTGGGATTGAGTTAGTAGTGGGGAACAAGTCGTCTGATGAAGTAGGGGTGTTTAGGTCGTCATCTTGTGTGAGAACAAGGACAAAGCGATGGGCAGAGAGCGAGTAAGAGCTATTTGCTGGCATAGGAGACGGGGGTGGAGGCACGACTTGAAAGAAGAAATCAGCAAGGGTCTGAGGTGGTAAGAAAGGTGGGGGCAAAATACATGGTGAGGCCTTGGGGGTTTTTGGGTTATTCAGGCTATGCGGATGGAAATTGATGGTGGTGGTGTTAGAAGAAGAAGCTTGTTAGTGTGGAAGTGATAGGGGAAAGGGGTGGTGATGGAGGAGGGGTGGCTCGGGTGGGGAAGATGAAGAATATGTGATTTTTTTTTAATTAATTATTTTAATGTTTTAATATCTAATAAACTTTAATTTTTATATTAATTGTTTGGCCTCGTGGCACAAGTTTGGCAGCCACGTCAGCATAAATGAGAACTTCATATTTGCTTGGTCATCACTTAGCAAGTTAATTTAACAGATGTTTGAAATTGAAATGAAATCATAGTAAATGTATGAGATTGAAATGTTTTAAGATGTTGTATGAGATTGCAATTGACCGACACTTGAGGGAGCAAAATGTAATTTACCCTAGAAGACAAAGTTTAAGTTAAGAGTAGCTGAAGTTAGGTTTTGGAAGTACGACTAATATTAGAGAAGTTAGCTCAACTACCATTGTAAACATTGACATTGATGAGAGGGTGCTTGAAATGGAAATGCTCCTGCCCTATTTACTCCAAACTGAAAATTTAATGAGAAATCATTATTTGATGTATCTATTTCAGCAATCACAATGACACTGGATCTTCATTTTTTCATGGTTTTAAATTTCAATTTGACTTTTCTTTAATTTCATGTATGTCAAGAAACCTGATAATACATGATAATAATATGTTAGAGAAATTTCATTTTTGTAAGACATTCTAATATCTTATGATGCTTGTCGTGTTAATTGGTGATTATATTCCTTTACATTTCTGTTCTGCACATCATGTCAAGGGGCGTGTGCATAGAGCCCTCGTTTTTCTGGGCTCCTAAATTTTAATAATCTTTGTAATGTATACTTATACAATAAAATATAGTTAACAAAGCTATTACAGTGGAGTTGGGAAACGCTGGTTCTTCCATTTTCGTATTTATGGGTTTGGTTCGAGTCCCAACCCAGTCATTTTTTTTTATGAATTTTTTTCAGCTATGCTAGGGTTTCTTTCGTATTGGGCATGTGCGAGGTCTGACCTTTTAAGCTACACTAATTTTTTATTGTTTTAAATATATGTAGTTAGTGTATTTCTTTTCACTTGAAAGTGAGAGATTTTAAGTTCGAATCTCGTGAATGGTGAATTTGATATCAAATTAGACTGCTTATTGTGTGGCTTTGCCGAACTTCTCTTCCCCTTAGTGTAAAATGATGGATGTACTTAAATATATATATACACACATACATGTAGTTAATTTTTTTCATAATAAATGATTACTTTTGTTAATAAATCTATTACTAGGAATATCATAATAAATTAAAATCCTTGAAAGTTTGAAGATACAATCTCTAAAAGCCTCCCGTTTTCTTATATGAATCATTTAATCATTTATTTTTTAGTCACTGTTTAAACATCATCTAATTCATTCCATTTGAAAACGATTTAATTATTCGTATATTAACAAGAAAATTGTAGTGGGTTAATTTGGTTTAATTGATTCAAGGCACAAATCCTGAAATTTTAACTAATCTAATGACAATCAATTGGGGGAGGGTGAGAATCATCCTTTAGGAGTGAGCAAAAATGCACTAAAAAACTAACAGTTCGTCAAAAAAATGTTATTAATATCATAATCAATGATTTATTTAACACATAATTTTTTCTTGACCAGTCTCAACCTTCTTTTTCTTCCCATATTATTTTGAGAATTATATTTCGATATTAAAGTGACACTGTATAGAAACCCACCGCATAAGTAATTGAATAGAGGTTGGATCTATCATTCAAGATAATAAAAAAGAAAAGATAGGACTCAATAGCATCATTTTTGGTCCTTTGGAACGAGAATTTTTGCCTGTTTAAATATTTTTAGAGTAGCTAAAGACGATTTCAGATAAAGTTGAAAGATCATTTCTTTAATTGGTTAAAGTTGAGAGACAATTTCTACAGTTTTCTCGTTTAGTTTCTCATATTTGCCCCTTGATTCAGTCTCATGTACGTGAAACGTAACCCATTTTGATGGAAGTTTTAATGGAGTTGACAAAAATGACCATAATTGTAGGTTTTGATGAGTTAAGGTACCAATAGTCATGAATTTTTAGTTGAGAGACCATTAATCCAATTGGGTTAAGATTGAGGGACTATTGCTACAATTTTCTCTATTAAATTAGGATCCATGCACATAGAAGAGGAAAAGTACGTAGCTAGAAAATGAAATTTCCACAATCTTACAATAAACAACCTAACAACTCTACAAGCTACTCGAAGCTAAAGGCAATCAACTCAACGGGGCAAAAACAACATAAAATTGTTTCTAAGGAAGAAGAAAAAGGCATATCCCGAAAACCCAAAGCCTCAGTATGCAGGTACCCAAAGCCTCAGTAGGCCATATATGTTCCTGATCACATTCCTTTCCTCTTGGTGCTTTCTTCGTTAAGGAAATCGAGCAAGACAGAGCTTTTGCATTTTGGGCAGTTTGGATCCAATTCAGATAGCATGACATACATGAGGCACCGAGGACACCCTGCAAGCACCCTCGCCTTGGCTTCGGGCCTGCTCAGGCAATGCATCGTCTCATCGTCTGGTTCTGACGACACGTATGAGCTGCGGTCGATTAACATGTCCGAGGATGACTCGGAGGCATTTGAGGTGTCAATTGGTGATGAGTTAGCACTTGGAGGAGACAGATTTAGCTTCAATTCAAGCTTTGGACTACTACTTCCTCTTCTGCTCATCTTTGTCTCTCTCCTTTTTTAATATCTGAAAACCTCCCCACCTGTCGAAAACCCTAAGAAATTAGTATACAAAGACACTAATCAGCCCATAAATTATTAACATATAGATGTACATAATAAATAAACGTCTTACCTGGAGAAAGATAAAGAAAATTAGAAAAATTTAGGGAGTCACTACAATGGTTTGGAGAAGATATGGTGAAGGTAAAACCAGCTATATATAGTAGTTTAAGAGGGAGGGAAGACTTCGGGTGAACAATCAACAAACATATGTGGTTGGTGTTCTACAATTGGACCTCTAAGGCCAAGCATTTAAGAGGGACGGAAGACTTTGGGGCCAACTGTAATGGTTAATTAGTTTTTTTTTTTTTTTTGGAAATTAAGGAACGGAGAATAAAGTGAATGAGTGGAAGAGAGTATACAGAAAATTAAAATACACTTGTTTGAATACAGAAATTGGTATAATATATGAATTGCATTTAAAAAACATAAAGATAGATACCTACATGTTTGCTGGAAGGAAGTGAATTGCCAGCATATAATGTGTATTCTCAATTATCTAGGCTGGTGGGATTTGGTGTGTGTATTTAAAAGGGAACTTTAACGAAAAGCACCCGGTACTGTTCACTTTAACGAAAAACCATATTTTTACACTAAAAAGTCAATCCTGGTACTATTCACTTTACCCTTTATTTTGTCCTTATCATTAAAACTCAAAGTTTTCAAACCCTTTTCATTAGTTTTCCTTATTTAAAATCACAGGAAAAAAACATAATTAAAATAAATTCATACCTATCCATATATTCTTTCTCGTACCTACAGCTTCTTCAATTGTTTTTAATCTATATTTGGAGGGAAATTAAAAAATTTGGATTAATATTTTAACACATTAGAGAATGCTTTTTAAAAAAAAAAAATAAAAGAATTAAAAAAATAAAAAAAAACACACATCGATATTTATGATGAAGAATTCCAGTATCAAGCAAAAGATGGAATCTAAAATTCCCGTACAGTTTAAGGATTAACCGAAAAAAGCTACACGCAAGGGCTTGATCATCGGGTATTAAAAAAGAGAATGTTTATAATTAGATTGTTGCAATCCTTGATTAATTAGTAACGTGGTTGTATAAATCTTTATATGATTTTATAATATTTTTAGATGTCGTGGCTTATTTTAATTTGACAGGGGAGAGAGGGGGCGCACGGCAAAGAGAGAGTAGGGAGAGAGAGATGTGTTCGTAGGATTGTGTAGAGGATGTGTTTTTCCTCTAAAAAGTGTCTTTATTTATAGTAATAAGGGAGGTCATAATCCTTCTCCTCTAAGGAATACAAGTCCTAATAGGGAAGAATAACTAGTATTAAATCTAATATAGGATTTACACAATCACACTTAAATACAATGTTTATAACACTCCCCTTAAGTGTGTAAATACTCGAGTAGATTTTGCATCATGTAGAGTTAAGGAAGTCGACTCATTGACACTGATTTTAGGAACAAGTTAGTCTCAAAGTAAAGTAGGAACTTGCATATCGAACTAAGTCTCACAAAAAACCAATGGCTATGCTAAAACCCGAGTAGGGACAAAAACCCATAGGCTAAGGAAAAATGCATGAGAAATGCAAAGTCAAATGAAACGTCTACGGGACGTCATCAGGGATATGATCAACTCAAGGTGGGTGCCTCGTTAAAACCTCGTTAGGTAGAAAAACCCAAAGGGAAAAATGCTCCTAATCGTAGGGAAAAATAGTACATTAAGATCAAGCAAGTACACTTCAGGATACTCCCCCTGAGTTCGACATAATTTCAAAGAGAACTAACAATGTTACAACTTATAAAGTTTACGCATACTTATTCCTTGAACAAGCATCTGAAACGTCGCCTTCGGTAATGATTTGTTGGAGAGGTCGGCCTAATTGTCTTATGAATGGATTTGCATGACTTTAATCTTCTGATGCTCTTGCTGTTGATGTGAGAATAAGAACTTCAGCACAATGTGCTTGGTGTTGTCTCCTTTGATGTAACCCTGCTTAAGTTGTTCGACGCATACTGCGTTTTTCTTCATAGGACATCGTCAAGAAGTCAACGATGGGGTAAAGATTGTAGGAGCTTCGAATATGGCCCATAATTGCTCTTAGTTAGAAGCATTCTCGAGTTTCTTCGTGTAAGGCAAGAATTTCAGCATGGTTAGAGAAAGTGGCAACTAAGATCTGTTTAGTTCACCTCTAAGATATTGTGGTGCCTCAAACAGTAAAGACATAACCCGTTTGAGAGCGCGTTTTGTGCGGGTCAGATAAGTAACTTGGATCAGCATAACCAACAAGGTAAGAATCAACTCGAGATAAGGGGGTGCGGTATCACTCGAGGATTCGTAGGGATAAAACAAGCCCAGATTCGTAGTACCCTTAAGGTAACGGAAGATGTCTTTTAACACCAGTCTAGTGTCTGAGTGTCGGTGCATTACTGTATCTTGCCAAAAGATTAACAGCGAAGGAGATTTCGGGTCTTGTGCATTAAACTAAGTACAATAATGCACCTATCGCACTTAGATAAGGAACTTTTGGTTCTAAAATCTCTTCATCATCCTCTTTCGAACAGAATGGATCTCGTTTTGCATCTAACAGTCAAGCGACCATAGGAGTACTAAAAGGCTTCACTTTATCCTCGTTAAAGCAGCACAACACCTTGTGGGTGTAGTTCGATTAATGTACAAAGATTCCATCCAAATGGTGTTCTATCTCAAGACCGAGATAGTATCGAGTCTTTCCTAGATCTTTCATCTCAAATTCCAACTTCAGGTGCGCATCAGTTCTCTCAAGCTCTTCAGGAGTTCCGATGAGGTTCATGTCGTCGACATAAACTGCAACTATCGCTACACCATAGTGTGAATTCTTAATAAACACTCAAGGGCATAGTTCATTGTTCATATATCCCTGACTAGTCAAATGCTCACTTAGACGGTTATACAACTTTCTTCTGGATTGCTTCAAACCGTAGAGTGAACGCCTCAACCGAATTGAGAGCGTGTTCTGAGGTTTGGAAATTTTTGATCTAGTCAATGTAAGTCCTATGTCCAACGGCTACATACTCTGTCGAATCCGGCTTTTTGTTTTGATTATTAGTCTTTCAAAAACAACCAAATTGATAAGGCAACGAAAAGTAATCACATCCATAATAGGTGAATAAGCTTTGTCATAGTCAATCCCGGGGCATTATGAGAAGCCTTGTGCAATAAGATGAGCTTTGTAATACATAATTTTGTTCTTCTAATTACGTTTTGCAAGCGAATCGAGTTCGACTTAGATTGCTTGTTTCCAGTTTGACTAATCAGTTCTACGCCAACATTCATCAACGGAACGAAGTTCAATGTCATCGCTTAACATGATCTTAATAGCTATTGCATATGCTAATGCATCTTCGGTGATCTCATTTCTACAAGCATCATCCAAGCTAACATAATGGACCGAAATCTCTTGATTCTCGGGAGGTGGATTCGTCTATTTAAGGACACTTCCGTAATCTAGAATTTCCTTATGAGTTAGATAGAATGAGTAGGTGACAGTCGGATTCACGATATGCTTAATAGCATGTGCCATGGTTTTCCTCTTTCGGGGGTGTGAATCATTTGAACTAAGTGGTATGCCACACTTTTTTGTAAGGGCAGAGAATTGGCTAGCCGCTAATGTACATCATAGGCCATTAAGGCATCCCTGGCTTCCAAGAGGGAAGCCCGTCATACATTTGGTGCATCCATCTTTGCAGGCACATTTGCAGCTGGAATATGTGATCTTGTCACTCGCGCTAGATTCGTGAAAGCTTTTGGCATGCTCTGAGTTACGCTATGAAGATCTAATATGCTGCATTTTAGTTTTAGACTGAGCAATGTGGGGATCTAAATGAGACAACGTGAGAGTCATCCATGATAATTCATGTCATTTTTTTAGGACTGGTGACATTTTTATTTCCCTCTAACGAAGGAAAGATTATCTCATAGAAGTGACAATCCACAAAACGAGTGGTAAACAGATTGCCTATCAAAGGTCTATGTAACGAATAATTGAAGGATAATCATATCTGACATGTATTCCCATCATCCACTGAGGCCCCATTTTTGTACGTAAGAGCGGCGAAATTGACACATAGACTACACAACCCAAAAATGCACAGATGTTATATGGTTAGGTCACAACAGGCCTCAGGTGGACCAACATGGTTGCGTGCAATAATGCATAGCCCCAAGCAACGATCGGGAGCTTGGAATGTATGACCAACGATCGAGCAATCATTTGTAAACGTTTAATGAATGCCTCTGCCAAGCCATTCTAGGTGTGAATATGGGGTATTGGATGTTCAACTTCAACCCCAACCGACATGAAATAGTCATCAAAAGTTTTAGATGTGAATTCTCCAACAATATCCAATTAAATAGATTTGATTGAATAATAAGGGTGGTGATAACCTGAGCCAACAGTTTGGAGAATGCAACATTCCTTGTGGACAACAAGCACACGTGTGACCAATATGTGGAAGCGTCAACCAAAACCATAAAATATCTAAATAGTCTGCAGGGAAGGTGAATCGGTTAACAAATGTCCCCCTGAATCCTTTGTAGAAAAATAGGAGGATTTGAACGAATCTTGTCATAAGAAGACTTAATAATAAGCTTTCCCATAGAGCAAGTTTGACATGCAATTCCTTGAATCAAACCTAAACTTCATGTTAGTGGATGCTTGTGTGAGGATTTGAGGATACGGTGCATCGCTGTTCATCCAGGGTGTCCCAAACAATTATGCGAAAGTGTGATTTCGTACATGGTCCCTGAGGTAGGGTTGGCCACATACTTGCTCTTTATAGGGCGTATGGTTGTAGTATACACACCACTCGGGATATACTCCATCATCTCTAGAATACGCTTCTGGCCATATTCCTAAGAAGTGATTCACAGAAATTCAACTACATTTTATACATAGGTTTTAGCATGGTAATTATTATCTCAAATGTCCTTAGAACTCAACAACGTTCTTCCGGAACGTGGAGAATAAAGTGCCTCTTAAATGGTCAAGATTGTACTATTGGACAACATTATACGTGCCTTATCGTATCCTTCGATCAGGTTGGATGGGCCTGAGATGGTTGTTAGAGGTGCATTCTTAGGTAAGAAGTTAGTGAAATAGATGAGTTCAAGCAAAATGGTGTGTGTGGTTGCACTATCTACCAAACTACTAACTTTCCCACTAGTTATACATAGAAATAAAATTTAATTTGAATTGGTCACATGCATAA